GGTTCCCACCTGGTCCCCGAGGCTCTTTCTACAAGGGATTTGTGGGGACTTTAGCTGTGCTTCCTAGCCTGCTCCTCATTGGTCATGGAAAAGGGGGGGGAGGAGACACGGAGCCTGCAGGGCTCCGCATTGGCCATGAAGAAGGAAGGCTTAGGCTGTAGGGCTCCTCATTGGCTACGGAAAAGGAAGGCTTAGACTGTAGGGATTCTTATTGGCTATGAAGAAGGGACCCTAGACTGTAGGGCTTCTCATTGGCTATGGAGAAGGGCGATAGACTGCAGGGCTCCGCATTGGCTATGGGGAAGGAGTCTTAGGGCCTGCAGAATATTCTTGTTCAGGCCCTAGACTGAGCAGTGCTGCCAGGTAGCGCCTGAGAATCCACGGAACTGGAAATCTAAAGATTTCGGTCCACGATCAGGTAGACTTGCTTTTAGGCCCCTATTGGTCCTGGATGGGGAGGAGAATACTTACCTCATGGCTAGAAAACAAGGTGGGTGGTGGTGACAGACACACACGGCAGGATCCTGGAGTCCAGGATCCAGGATCAAGGGGTTGATCCCAGGGTCTTAGGGGACAGCCCTCCTCTCTCTCTTCACTCTGGGGACCAAACTGTTAACATAACCAACACTTTAAACTGAGCATTGCTGGTGTGTTGGGACCCACCCCTCTCTGCTTTGCTGTTTAGGACTTGTAAGTTGTCTGGCTTGAGGTTCCATGCAGAGGGCAACTGAGGCCTCTGACCAACAGCTCTGCTGTATCATGTATAAATAAGGCTGCCACGGGCCATGCCAGAGGACCTGGGTCTGATTCTCAGCACACACACAGCTATCACAACTGTCTGTAACTCTAGTTCCAGGGGATCTGATGCACCAGACATTCAGGCAACACACACACACACACACACACACACACACACACACACACACTATTGTGACAAATGGACAAATGTCTCCTTTTGACAAGATAGTGGGGCAACACATCAGAGGCACATTTTTTTTTAGGGTGGATTTTCCATGATGTGTTGATAAATTGAGGCATTGTGGGAGCACGGGGCTGGGTAGCTGCTCATGCCTTTGCTGTGTGGCCCTGTGGGTTCGGTTTCTTATTTGCAGGCCGGTCAGTGTGACTTGTGAGGCATGGTTCAGGCTGGATGGTGGCAGCTGCCGGAGTCACCTCTTGTGTCCTGAAGAGATAGAACTCAGCGATGCTGAACTCAGATCATGTCTGGTGACAACAACGCTGTGCAATTTCCTGGGGCAAGCCAAGAAAAGGGGTGAGCAGAGATCGAGGAGGGGATCCTGAGCCTGGTGGGTTGAGGGGTGGCCCCAGAGGAGAATAGGATGGTGCCTGTTCTGTTGTGAGAACAGATAATGTCTGAGGCTGGATGGATTGATTATAAAGACCAGAGTCAGATAGAGGGGTTAAATATGGAGGTCAGAGAAGCAAAGCGCCCAGCCAATAGAGAGTTCTCACCTCTACCAATGCTCAGATCAAAGGATTAGTTCTGTCCTCAGACTGCATCTCCACACTGCAACTGTCTCCACCAAACCTCAGACTGCTTCAGACCTTTTCTCAGACTGCCCTGAGCTCCTGTCTCCTCCCGCCTTATACACCTCTCTCCGCCCAGCCACATCCCTCCTGTGTCCACCTCCATAGTGCTGGAATCAAAGGCATGCGATCCCAAGTTGTAGGATCACCTTTGTGTAAACTCTGCTTTTCTTTTAGACAGATTCAATCTCGTGTAGCCCAGGGTGGCCTTGAACTAACAGAGTTCCTTTTGCCTCTGTCTCCTGAGTCCTGGGATTTTAGGTGTGAGCCAACACTCCCTGACCTCTAGTGGCTTAGCTCGACACTCTGATCTTCAGGTTTTGTGCAAAAGCACAAACAAAATGTCACTCCAGAAGTTGCCATAAAGACCCTGAGAGAATGTAGAAACTTGTAATAGGGCTTTCCAAGTTTCATTTGGTTCCATCGAATGTCAGCCCACAGGATCTGACTGGTTATGTAACCGATTCTCTCAACTCTGCATCCCTGGGCCTTCAGTGAGCTTTCACTGAGACCTCAAAGGGCTGTGTGTCAGGAGTAGAGCCTGCAGCGTTCAGACAGGGGACGTGGAAATGGCAGAGGTCACATAGTCCTGTAAGGCTGATTTTTATAGCAAAACTCTGCATTGAATGGGGGTCAGTCAGGAAACTGATGTCCTTGCTGAGTGGCCTGAGGGAAGAAGGAGACATATTTTGATAGCCTGCAACCCTGCTGAGCATCCTGTGGGCTTTAAAGACCACCCTCCCCGGGGGGGGGGGGGGGGGGGGGCGGGGCGGGGACAGGAGAGATGGCTCAACAGTTTAGGGCACTTGTACTTGCAATGGACTCAGGTTCAAATCCCAGCACCTACATGACTGCTCACAACAGTCTGTAATTATTCCAGTTCAGGGGATCTGTTGTGTTTAGCATGGCTCCAGGGCCAGACCTTACTGGGGTGGTGGCAGAACGAAACACTTGAGCACACAGGAGAAGCTGGGTTCCGATGGAGAAACCGCAGCACCTCAGGAGCCTACCATGTTTATTATGTACTGTTGAAAGGGGAGGCAGGGCTATTGTGTGTTGCTGAACAAGGAGGTGGGGTTATCACAGGCAGATAAACAAGGAAGGGAGGTGGGTCTGTGGTTTGTAGCTGAACTGAGGACTCAGGTCTAAGTAATTGCCTTAGAATCAGGTGCTGGAGGGGAGCAGTCTCCAGGGGGGAAAGATTGGGGTGGAGGGAGAGAGCTGTGGTGGACATTTTCTGCACACGCTGTCGACATCCACACGCAGACCCGAGGAAGGCTTTGCTGTTTCCCTCTGAGCCTCACTGTGCCCTCCCTGGTCACGGCATTGTGGGGAGCTTTGATGCCCATGGGTCTCAGGCACTGGGGTCCCTGACAAGCTGGCGCCCGTGTCTGTGGCACACCTTAACTCAGGACTTTGCCCATGACCTGTGAGTGCCCTCCACTCCTCACAGGGCCTGACGCCTTCTTGCCTCCGAGGGCACGGTATGCATGAGTTGTGTGCAGACATACAGACAAAACATTCAACTACATAAAATAGAATAAATCAATCTCTTTTTTTTAAGATTTTTTTCTTCAGAATCCTGAGGTGAAGTCAGGAGAGGAGGAAAAAAAGAAAAACACTTTCTAAGAAATTCTCAGTCATGAGCTTGAAGTAGACTGCAGGACACAAACACAACCCTAAAACGCAATGACTGTGACTTACGATGGCCACTTGTATCCTATGACTCACGGAAGTGTCAGGACTTTGTGTCCCAGTATGTCTGCAGTCCCTTCCCTGTCCCAGGAGGACTCATTGCAGAATTTGTAAATGGGCCCCCACCTGCTTACACTCCACACGCCCCTCCCCCATCCCCCTCTAGGAGCTCATAGGCTGTTGGGACTCTGAGGTCATCCTAAGTCCACTCCACTTTTCCAACTCCAGATATCCCCACAGTTGGCAACTGGACTCTGAACTCAGCACTCAAGCTGAGGGCGGTTATAGCCAGCCAAGTTCCTGTGCCCTGTGTGGGGCTTGAGAAAGGTGGTATCTTGGGAATAGTTGAAGCCCCGGCCTCAAGCTTCTGCTCTGACCTGTGGTGAGGACTCAGCAGCCTCTGAAGCTCCCTGAGTTTCTGTTTTCCCCACTTGGAGGATGGAGCTGAGAAACGGAGCCTGCAACTCAAGGGTCACCAGGGAGATTTGCTGGGAAGAATTGGTCCTGGGTCTTGGAAGCCAGATAGTTGCAGGGAGCTGATGGAGTCTGGGGATCCTGGTGCAGAAACAAGGACACATAAAACCCAGGCAGGACTAGAACCATGGTCAGAAGCTGTCGAGGGTCTTCAGACTCTGGACAGCAGGGTGTCCAGGTAGGCAGGAGGTGAGAGGTAGGAGCAAACCACACTCTGTTCACATCCCCACCCAGTCCCCTGGAGAGGGCCTGCGGAGGAAGTAAGGCAGCATTGGTTCCCATGGCTGGAACTTCCCTGTCTGCTGTAGAAAGAATGATCGAAAGGAAGGAAAGAGGAAACAGCTGGGTAGCCCCACCCTGAGCCACCCTGACTGTCCCTAAAGCTGCAGGCTAGTATTCACGGTCCAGCATCACAAGTGGTGGCTTGTCCTCCATGGACCAGGACACTGAGACCTTCTGTGGGATGGAGAAGGCCCTGACGGCTCCCAAGCCCAAGGCACCTGTGCGGCATCGCTGTTCTAGACACTATCAATGGCACTCCCTGGGGACACTGACATGGACTATGAGGAGGCCACTCTTAAGACCCAGAGATTCCCCCAACCCAAATATGTGGTGAACTGCAGCACTCTGGACCAGCCCAGGAGTACTGGACAGACGGCCCATGGTTTCTCTTCCTAGGGCTGGGGATTATGGACCAGGCTAACACTGCGTGTCCCTGGTGTGTATGACCACAGCTCTGGATATCAGGCACCCAGCAAGATGGTGTCTCCTTGGCACTGTGTTGCTGATAGGGGTGCTGATGAGGAGAGCGATGTTGGCTTGCAAAAGACAAGCCACCTGGTTCCAGCTACTTCTTTGTTCCCCTGAAGATCTGAGGTTCCTCATCCTGGGAGGCAGTTTTGTTTCCTACTGGCAGGTTCCCCATGGTAAGGTACCCCAGGGTGCCCTCCCAGGGTTAGGCTGTGCAAGTTACACGTGGTGCCAGTCTGGGAGCGTGTGTGGAGAAAAGCTGGCTTATTCATCCCCTTAAGAAAGTTTAGATTCACGGCCGATGAGAGTGTTCATCTGGAGGTCTGGGTTTCTGAGTCCTCTGTTGGGTGGAGCCAGGCTCCAGGGCCTCAACAGTCAGAGCTCTCCAGCGTGTGGTTTCCACCGCTCCTGCTGTGTCTGCTCTCATCCGTCCTTCTTTGTCCTTCTTTGGTTTCACTGATCCGCCTAGAGCATGGATGGCATTTTGGTACCTACACCCCAGCAATGGTCATCACAAGTGCTTCCTCTCTCTTTCGGGTCATCTGTCTGGATTTTGCAGCAGGGAACTTCTGTGGGTGGAGCATGGACCTGGATTCAAGGGAGCTTTTCCTTTTCCAGATGCAAGAGAGGTTTTTGAGTTTATTTTTTTTAAAATCAACTTCGTTGTGTCTTGATTTCCATAAATCCCGATCTAGGGTGAGTGTGAAGATGCAGTAAAAGGGTTGTGGGCAAAGGGGATGGGGCTTCTGCGGCCCGCTTAGGAGCCCTTAATGTTTGCTCTTTATTATTAGATGAGATTTATGCACCAATAGACACACAGGTAGTGAGTACATAGCTCGTGGGGTTTTGGTATGTGTATATGCAAAGTACCAGATTCTTAAGCATGCCTGCTCTGGTCTCTGTGTTTTCCCTGGTCATTAGTTTTGTGGCCTTAGAAGAAAGGTCTTTGGGAGGTGATTAGTCATGAAGGCTAAACCTCATCAATGGGATTAGTGCCCTTATAAAAGATTCCCCAAGAGCTGCCCTGCCTCTTCCACCATAGTGGACACAGCCAGATGGTGCCAGATACATCCCAGAAAGCAGGCCTTTCTTCAGTAGCTGTTGGATTTGCTTGGGATTGTTCTTGGGCTGCTCAACCCGAGCTGAGAAATTGATCTCTGCTGTTTGTAAACTGCCCGCTTCATTATTTCCTTGCAATCCAAATGGACTAAGCCAATATCTCCCAGGCACATACTGCGAATATTACCTGGCATGGCAGAAGGGACCTTGAAGGTGTGCATAATACAAGGGGAGGAAACGCTTCCTGGATTACCTGGAAGAAAATGGATGCCCCGGTGTCATCTCAAGGGTTCTCATAAGTGAAGGAGACAGGCAGGATGATCAGACGTGGCATTTTGAAGCTGCAGAGCTGCTGCCTGTGGAGCTGGAGGAGAGCTGAGCAAGGAATGCAGATGCCCTTGGGAGTCTGAAAAAGGCAGGGGATGGATTCTTCCCGGCCCCTCCAGCAGGAACCAGCCCTGCCCCCTTCTACCTTGAATGTGGCCATTAGCCCCATTTCAGATGCCTGACCTCCAGAACCATTAGAGAATGAAGGCGTTTTGTGTTAAGCCACTAAATGCTAATAACTTGTTACCATAGCAACAAGAAGAAGCGTGTTTTAAGCACCACATCAGGCAAAAATCGAGGATATTTTTTAAAACGTTGTCCGGGCTGGCCTTGGACTTGCTATATACCCGAGGATGACCTTGAATTCATCCCTCAGCCTCTCGTCCCTGCCTCTTAAGTGTTGTTATTACAAGCATGTGCCACCAAGCCCACTTTCTTCTGTGCTGCACATGGAACCCAGGGCTAGCACACTGGACTAGCAGTCTTAACCGGCCTATACCACCAGCTCTTACGACTGCATCACTCCACAAAGTTCCCTGTGCCCCTTTATGTGCCCGTGGGCTCCTTAACCCAGCCTCCCTATTCCTAAACTTGATTAAACTGCACTTGGCTTATCCATTCTCTTACAAACTGTGCTTGACTCCTGTGAAAGCAACAACAAATAAACAAATTCTACTATGTATTCTGGAATAAATCTCACGTTAGATGCAAACCTTCATGTCTCATAGGTAAAGGCCTGAGAGTGGAGTTACTGGGTTGTAGGTTTGGCGCACACAGGGATTTCAGCACATGGGAACTGGGTGTCAATGGCTGCCCAGCTTGCTTGTAGTAATTTCTGGGAGTACACGTCTGTACCAGAAGAGAAGGTTTCAAGACTGACTTGGAAACCCTCCATGATGGCTAGGTTGCAGGTGGCTTCCCACGTTCATGAACACCTTTTCTCTATCCCAGGTGGTACTGGAGCTTCCTTATAGGTCTTCCTGAGTGGAACTCTTGCTAGCTCTGTTCGTAGCATGGATTCTGAGGCCTGTGGCAGAGCCCTTTCTTTGGCAGAACTGTTGAAGTAAGAATTGGATATCCCTGGAGTCCAGCTAGCTCTGAGTTTTCAGTCCCATCCCCCACCCTAAAGGAGTGGCTCAGGGGCTGGCCTGTTTTGGAGATCAGTCATAAGGGTCAGCTCCTCCCACGGGAAGGGAAGCTGGCCCTTCTTGCAGACAGCGCAGGAGACAGACTGGGAGAAAGCAGATGGCTTCCCAGATGGCAGAGAGCACAGCCCAGCCGATGGAGAGGGTTGTATGAGGGACGAGGATGGCAAGGGGAAGTAGTGGGTGCCTCATTCAGGCAACTGATTGGTTAAACAGTTGAATCGTATGCAAAAAGCATACAGCAGGTACTAGAGGCAGGGATTATACCATGACATTCACAGTTAAGATAGGGCTGAAGGGGAGCAACCTGGAGACAGAAACCAGCCAGGTGGGTGAGGGATCCTCCGGGAAGCTCTTCGCACTACTCTGTCTGTCTCATGGTGTCCCCTCTGCCATGGTCCCCTCTGCATCTTGCTCAGTGAGCACAGTTCCCCTACCAGTCAGCATCCTCTTTCTGGGGTGTCTTCCCACAGCCTCCAGCGGCATTAGTCTGTCCTCTCCCTCCCCCTCCCTGCAGCATTTACTCAGCATCTCCTAAAGAGCTCAGAAGTCTATGGCGCTTCTCATGGTATCGATCTGAAGTCACTCACTCAGTTCAGAGGGTGGACAGTCAGCTCCTCTTGGATGACATTCACAAGGCTGCGTGTTCTCTGGTCCAGATGATGGCGGTCTGATGGGGCGGGCAGAAGAGGGATAGAACACAGGCTGGGGAGATGTATATTAAGGCCCTGGTTGGTTCTGCTGATTTCCTTTGCAGGGAATGCTAGAGTGATTGCCAGTGGCCGGGTGCTCACTTCCCCAGTTCATGTGTAGCTTCTGGAACCTCCTTGTTCACTCTCTCAGGGTGTTCTCAGCATTTGCTCACACCCTGCAGGAGCTCCCAGACTAAATGGGAAGCAAAGGCTTGTGCGAGTGTCCCTGGGACCAGCCCATTTCCTCATCACAGGGACAACATGGGACTCACACATTCCAGGTTCATTGGGGTGTGCCTGGTCATTCCGGGAGGGGACAAAGCATTCCACTCTGCAGAGGAGATGGTGCCAATTAATTGAGTTCCAGACAGGCTGTTGAGGATAATAACACTGAGGTCAGCGAGGCTGTCCTTGCAGGACACCGTGGCCAAACGAAGCCAGAATGCTACGTCCTTGGAGGAATAGGCCCGTGGTACAAGGTATAAAGAGGCAAAGGGACCACTGTGGGTGCCCAAATCTCCTTCCTAAGCCCAGATGGGGCCATTGGTTGTCTCCTTCCCTGGGCCCAAGCATTGCTGGCTTTGCTCTGTCCCAGGCCTGTTCTCCCACCTCAGGTCTGCAGGGATTCAATCTGTGCTTTAGCCAAGGTGCGTGGTTGGGTAGAGGTTGGGATAGGATGGGATGGGTGGGATAAGGAATTTGGGGGTTGTTTGCTCTATTCCTAGTTTGCACAATCTTGACTTTAATAGGTTGAAATTCAAAGCTTATCTTTATTTGGTGGTCAAGCCTTTGCCTTCTCTGGCAGGTGCAACGCTAGGGACAGTTTATGAAAACATTTCTGCTAACCTCATCATAGAGTCTTAGGTGGCCAGTGGGCTCCCAGCTGACCTCTGGGCTCACGGCTGACCTCTGGGCTCCATGCTGACCTCTGGTCCCTAGGGCCTTGATACCCACCCCTTGCTCTGTTGGAGATGCCCCAGAACTAAACTCCCTCCCTAGAAAACACCTTCAAGAACCCGTTACCTTTCTCGATAAGACTTTAAATAGATCCAGCCTGGGGATGAGGGGTGTTGGGGGTGGCTTATTCTTTAGTATCTCCCAGGGTTTCTCTCCTGCCTCTCTGAGTTAAGTGTTCTTTATCAACTCCCCTCAGAGGGACGCTCCTCTTGAGATTCTGCCATGCACACTTACCTTAGCAAAGCCTGCTATTAATCAGTTCCTGGACCCAGCTGACGAATCCTGTTTTTGTTGACATGCAAATTAACCACTAAAGTTTTTTTTTTTAATTAAAAACACTAAGAAATAATTATGGGTTTTAAGCTAAAAGGATCTTAAGAAGTCTTTGAAAGAACTTTTTCTCCTTTCTCCCTGTAAGCTCCCAAGGCTCTCCCCTGTGTGGGAAAGTGTTACCCACTGTACTGAGTGGGAGTGGGGTGTCGGGTCCCGGAGGTGTCCTTGCTGTCCACACAGCAGCTGCCTCCCTCTCTCCTGGACTGTGCTGGGCAGTGGTCCTGGCTTGTTCTTCCCAAGGCTCCCCTGAGCCTCTGAGCATTTCTCTCTCTTTGCCTTTACCTTCTGGAAGCAGCAACTTTGTACCATGGAAACAGTCCTGCAGAATTTGTGTAGTTTTGCTCTATAGATCGGGCTATCTCAGCACTCACTATGTACTCCAGGCTAGCTTTGTGTAATGAGCCTCCTACCTCGGTCTCCCAAGAGCTGAGATTCTAAGTATGAGCTGCCATAGCCGCTACACAGCCTGTATCAACGCCGGTGCTGTTGGGGCCAGTGTGACTCCCAAGGGCTATCAGGAATCTCAGCATTCATTCCACAGCGCTTTGGTTCCTCTGCCACACAGGGAGAGGGAGGAGGGCGGCCACTTCTCAGTCCCTCAGCTACATCAGCATTCTGGACTTCAGAATGGCTAAGAAGAAGCTGAGGTAGACCTGTTCCTGGTGCTACCTGCTCTGTGACCACATCCTAATGCTGCCGCATCCGGGTAGAAAAGAGCTCTATCCTGACCTGTTAAGTTTCTAGATGGGAAGCCAGGCTTCTGTGCAGGGGTCAAGGCTGCAGTCATGGCCACATGGATTCCATGTTCTTGATTATTCTAAAAGTGCCCCTAGGTGAGTAGACAGCCGAAACGGGAAGCTGGGGCCAGACAGTCTCTCTCAGCCTTGACAGTGCTGGCCCTCACAGTTCCCATCACTAGGCGTTTTCCTGAAGCTTCCATCTGCCAAGTTTCTGTCTGGTATGGATTTTTCAGCCTTGATGAACTAACCCACAGAATCTAAATGTAGAGGGGATATATTTACTGACCTTGTATGTTTGAAGGTCTCTGCCCGTTCCAGGGCGTAACCAACGGATCATCTCCTCTGCAGCAGCTGGACCAATTTTATGATGATGATGATGCCACTAAATAAATAAATAAATACACAATAAATAACTAAATATTGACTGTTTGCCATGTACCAGACTTGGTAGGTATTTTTTACTTAATGCTCATAGTGCACCAAAAAAATAGCTCACCATGGTTACCCAGCCTCATTTTCTGGGTGAGTAAAATGAGGTCCCAAGAAGAAAAGTCACCCACTCCAGGCCTGCATCTGGGAAGTGGCCAGGCCAGGATTCAAATCCAAACTTTCCTAGTTCTGTTCTTGGTCTTCTGTGATATCAAATTATCCCTCCCCTGTTTGGATCTTTGAGGTTTGACCAAGTAATAGCTTGAAAAATGAGAGCTGTTGTTAGTTCCGCAGCCCAAGGAAGGCAGAACTGCACGGTTGCCTGACTTGCGAATGCTCTAATTCCCCTGCACTTTTTTTTTCTCTCATGTGTAAAATGGAGATTTTCATTCATTACTGTTAGGACTGTATGTGTCCCCCATTTTTCATGTGTTGTGAAATTAATGCCCAATAGAACAATGTTGAAAGGTGGGCTCTTCCCAAGGTGATAGATCGGTCATAAGGACTCTGCCCTTGTGAATGGGTTAACACGGGCTGGGTTAGTGATCACAAGGATGGATGGGTTAACGCGTGTACCTCAGGAGTGGGTTAGATCACAAGGGTGGATGGGTTAACGCGGTACCTCAGGAGTGGGTTGGTTATCATGAGGGTGGATGGGTTAACGTGGGTACCTCAGGAGTGGGTTAGATCACAAGGGTGGATGGGTTAACGTGGGTACCTCAGGAGTGGGTTAGATCACAAGGGTGGATGGGTTAACGTGGGTACCTCAGGAATGGGTTAGTGATCATAAGGGTGGATGAGTTAGTGCGTGTACCTCAGGAGTGGGTTAGATCACAAGGGTGGATGGGTTAGCGTGGGTACCTCAGGAGTGGGTTAGATTACAAGGGTGGATGGGTTAATGCGGGTACCTCAGGAGTGAGTTAGATCACAAGGGTGGATGGATTAACGTGGGTACCTCAGGAGTGGGTTGGTTATCATGAGAGTGGATGGGTTAACGTGGGTACCTCAGGAGTGGGTTGGCGATCATGAGGGTGGATGGGTTAACGTGGGTACCTCAGGAGTGGGTTGGTTATCATGAGGGTGGATGGGTTAATGCGGTACCTCAGGAGTGGGTTAGATCACAAGGGTGGATGGGTTAACGTGGGTACCTCAGGAATGGGTTAGTGATCATAAGGGTGGATGAGTTAGTGCGTGTACCTCAGGAGTGGGTTAGATCACAAGGGTGGATGGGCTAACGCGGGTACCTCAGGAGTGGGTTAGATCACAAGGGTGACCTCCTGATAAAGGGTGACTCCGTCCTGTCTGGTCCCCAGATCCCTGCTCCTTCTACCTTTCTGCTCCCTGCCATGGGGTGACACAGCAGGAGGCTTCTCGGCCTTATACTTCCCAACTTCTGGAACTTGTTCTAATTTGTTCTCTGTTGCTGTGATAAACACCATGACCCACGGCAGCTTACATTTCCAAGTAATAGGCTTCATGAGAGAAGATAAGTCCGGAACCAAAGCAGAAGCCAGGGAGGAACTCTGCTAACTGCTCGTCACCTCCCCCTC